ATTCTTGAATTACGTACTTGGTCATCCAGTACTCCGACAAAGCAAAGTTTTGCAAGATTATTTTGAGGCCAGTTTTTTCACTGAAGTTTCTTACCTTTAAAATCAAATTCCTATTCATAATATTGATAACTGAGAAAAAAATGTGGCACAGAAATACATGTTGCAGGCATGCTGCGAATGATATAAAACAGCCATTTTTATAAAATACCCTGTTCGAATGTAAATACCTTGCACTGTTAAAGCTCCTTCATGTCACACGAACAATAGTAGGCTGGAATCTTATGTGACCACCAAGTTGACGTTTTCTTTTTAGATTGACTAAATTTCAAATTTGGTAGAAATTCTTTAATGATGTTTTGCAGAAAGCACAAGAAATTTCGAAGCCTTTGAATCATAAAAATCCATTGGAACCTTTACGACAATTTCATTCAGATGGAGAATCATCAGCGACGTCATTTGGAACCAATATAATTCATGTTTCAAAGTGTAAAGGTCAGGATCCCAGATTGCTCTTTATATCTGAGCATGAAGATTCACCAGCACCATCCGTACCAACCGCAGAGCTTTTTGTCCAAACTTATCCGATGCCGGCAACAGTGATGCAAAGAAATTCCACAATGAATATGCAGGAGAATAGCGTCTCAAATACTACACCATTACCAATGAATACTACATCGGCCATGACGAATCAGACACCTGCATCACAGTCTTCTTATGTTCTTCCTGCTTATTATTGTTTTGCAGTGTCGCAGCAATCACAGTCCAGTCAAGTGTCTCGGGCTAATAACGCTCCATTGCAACAGGGTTATTCATAATCTAATTCCAGTTAAGATGTGTTTTTTCCGGTCACTCGGACTGCTTCCTTTTTGCATTACTCACCATAGAAGAATGTATGTAGCTGGAAATAACCATGAATCAAATATTAAGAGCAAATCATCAAAATAACATAAGGATTTTGAAATTGATGTAATGTCAATATTTCTAAAGCTAAATCCAGAAAAATATGGAAATCACAGAAATAATTAATTAGTAAGTAACCACTGGCTCATTTCATGAATCCTGATTTCTCTGCATGTACTTCCGCGGCACTAGGAATCAATTGAATTGTTTCAGCAATCTTCCTTATTTAAATAATATTGTAGATAATTGTCGATTTTGTAAAAACAAAAGAATTTCTTCTCAAATATGTTGATTGGACGGCAGATGAAGGCGGCATTATTCATATAATTGTTATTCTTTTAGAAATATTATCATCATGATATATTCTTATTAACTTTTAGCCATTGATATAATATAGTTTTGATATCGCCTTTTAGCTTTTTTGATGTTATAACTTTCTTGACAACACAAAACTATATCTGAAATATATAGATACTCACATTGACTATATTTATTTCGATTGTATTTTTTACATGATAACGTGATACATTTGGGATTCGGAACATTGTTTTCGATCGTTTTTTCGATCATCCAAAGTACTTAGTTTATTGAAACTTAAGTGACCGAAATTAATCATTTGCTGACTGCTGTTCAGATATCTGAAAAAAAGGTATATTATTATTTTCTTCAGGTTCGAATGTAAGTTTTCAGGAAGCCAATTTTTTTTTTTTGTTTTTTATTATAATTATTTTTTTGGAAGCCCTTAAAGGAAATCAGATTTTGGCAATTAAATGATGTCGAAGACTTTCCCTGCATTAATTCCGTTAATTCCCAATCGCATTTTAAAAACTGGATTGGATCAGATTGTCTTAACATTCTGTAGTGACGACGCACACATAATTTGCTAATTTTCATGCTTGATCAAGAGAATTGTTAATTTGTTGTTTAAAACTGTTTAAAAGAAACACATCAATCGCACAGAAGAACTAATTAAACATTAGGATGAATTCATAAACTGGATATTTCTATGAAATTGTTGCGACCAATCCAGCATTTTTCCCTACTGTAACTGACTGCTTCTGCAATAGCGGAACATGGAATCATCAATATAAATCCAGTGCTATATTTATCGCAAAAGAGGACATCTGATCTCGGTCATGGGTATAAATCATCTGTTATTTGACTACCCCATTTAAGTCGTCTCGCTAATTGAACTATCAGTAATATGAGTCTCACATCTTACGGAAAAAAAAATTCATTGAGACCGGGAACCGAAAAGTAGTTTAGGTAGGCTATATTGTGGAAGGAGGACGTAAGAAATAAGGATAAAAAATCCAAAGAAAATCCGATTTAAGAATAAAATATGTGCAGTTAACGAAAAAGTTCTTTATCGTTTTTATATCAGAATTTGAATTGAATACAAGCAACGTACATTGACCTCTTTTTGAAAAAGTGAGTGACAAATTTGATGAATAATTGTAAGTATTACAGTGCATCAACCGTCACTAAAAAGATAAACCTTATGCACTGGCAAGATTGATAACAAATTACTCAAATACTGATGATAAACATGGTCATTCGTGGTTTAAGTGAAAACACCTAGGTAAAATTGAAAAATGCAGACAAAATAAAAAACTATCGCCGATTCTGCAAAACGAGAAATATATTGGTGATTTAGAAGAAATCATTACGTCCTGATATTGCGAGTTCGATAGCGGATTGGAAAAAGTGCTGCATATTTGTATAGTAAGATCCTTTACCTTTTATGGTTGCAAATTCAGAGTTTCAGGGTAACTATTTTTTAGATAGTTGCTCTGAAACTTATAAAAAAAGAAGGATCTTATCATACATATACAGCACCTTCTCCAATTTACTGAACAGGTTTTGACTACTCTCACAACTGCCGTTATGATGGAGAAAATATGACTGAATTTGAAAAAAGCTTTAAAAATTTAAACAAAAAATGACGTACTGGAAAGAATAACATTATTCAACAAATGTGAAAAAAGAAGACTGCACCAATTTGCCTCCATCATTTTAAGGAATAACCGAGCAAACTTTTAAGACAAAATTGAACTGAACTAAAGACTGGCCTCTCACACATGCAGAACCGGAGAAGAGTAGGAGTTAATTTAATAGAAAGGTAAAACAAATGAAATCATTACAGACATACATAATGTGTCTCCTTATTATAAAATTATTCAAGTTACAAAGTACTTAAAATTCGCTGAAATCTTTTCTCTATTTTGCAAAACGAAGAATGAGTGAATACACCATATCCCGAAAAGACCCCTGAAATGAATAATTTGAAAATGAAGAAAATACCAGTGCGGACTGGTCATTCAAAAAACAAAGTATTACACAGAAGAAGACAAAGACAAGTGAATAGTAAAAGAAAATACTGAGCTGGAAATTGGCAATAAAGAAATTTCGTAAAAAAAACCTTAGAAATGATAACAACGGGTATAAACATCAATCGTTGAGAAATTCCGGGAAATATTATTATTATGATAACACAACCATCAAAATTACGAAAAGAAATAAAGAAAAGATAAAAACTGTAAACAAGACAACTCTGGGAATTACCATTTAAAAAAAATAATGAAATTGTACAAAATGTATAATTGGGATTAGCACATCGTGAGATGCAAAAGGCAAGATTTTTATAAGAGAATTAATAAAGGCATTTCAAGAAATTGAAAAGCTGTTTTCGTACTATTGGGTTTCAAAATGCAACAACATAAGATTGATTTTTTTACCTGACGAAGATGATATGCTATTCAAATTCGAATTTACATTGATATTTAAACAAGTATTTAAGTTTGAATTAAAATGTATCACGAAATTTTCTCTCTTTCCTACATGCAAATTTCATGTTAACTGAAATCGCTAAGCTCATTTGAGCACTTCTGATGTTAGAAAAATCTTCCACGAAAAAAACTGATAGTAAGCTAACTAAAGATCAATATCTAGTTTCCAGATCTTCTAGGACAATCTTCTATGGCTGCACTGCTGACTTTTCAGTGAATTTGGCAATGAAAGCTTGCAAATCGCATCATCTTTTGAAAATTTAAAAAGAGCTCGAAGCTTGAATTAATTAGATATGATAAAATTTAAGTACTCATCCATGTTCTTCAGAAATTTTCCACGTTTTGAATAAACTCATAGCTTGATTATATAAAAATGGTAAGATGGAATAAAAGATTTCTTTGCGTGCTGCAAGATTTATTCTGAAATTTGGTAAAGAATCGTTCATGCTGACGAACTGCAACTTTTCCGCTTATATGTTGTTTAATGTCGGAATATTTCTGGTTGAAGAAATTTAATTTTATAGTTCGGTATCCGGTAGAAGCAATTTGAACGTTTAAACTAATCATATTACTATCATTTCACTCTTCTGTTCAGTAGTTTTACGTCTGGATCTCTACTAGCTTACAACTTATCGTTTTATTAACCGATCATTGAATGGATTTCATCTCAAGGTGTATCTATGTCACAAAAGTTTTTATTGCGTGAAGCATAGTTTACAGCCAGGAGATAAGATGGCTGGTAGACATGGAAACAAAGGGGTAATTTCCCGAGTTGTACCAGTGGAAGATATGCCTTATTTGGAAGATGGTACTCCTACTCATATCATTCTTAATCCTCTTGGTGTTCCATCAAGAATGAATGAAGGACAAATGTTGGAAGCTCATATAGATTGGGCTTGCAAAAAGTTAAGAGAGAAAGTGAGTAACATTCTTGATGAAATTAATAAAATCAAGGAAATTATCTCTTGACAGCAATAGCTCTGAACGTGTAGCCTTTTATGGACATTTCGGTAAAAAGCCAGTAGAAGATGGTGGATTTTCTTGAGAAGACACAAAGTTTTTAGTGCTCTTCGTAGAGAATTTAATATAGGGAGCAATGAAAAGGTTTCTCGTGAACAGATTTCAATGAAAAATTTCAAATAACAAAGTAGTTTCAATTCCAGACTACGATCACTGCAACAGTGTCAGCCTCAAAAGTTGCCTTATCATTAATGTTGTCTTTTATGCGTTTATTGCACGCTATTATGTCTTGTTTTGTTTAATGAACGAAGTATCAATATCAACTAACACTTTTTTGTGAGAAAAACGTGCCGACCTCGGCAGGAGTCGAACCTGCAATCTTCGGTTCCGTAGACCGACGCGTTATCCATTGCGCCACGAGGCCAGTGAGTAACGTAATAATACTAATTAATTTAATTCTGACTGATTGTCTTCGATCGATTACATTACTGTCTCAGAACTGGACCAATCCCCGATGATCCTTTCTTTGCAAATGAACTATGCTGGACGTTAGCGTTGCATAGTGAACCAGGGTATGACGTCAGAGCTGCGTTATTTAGCGGCTACTGAAAAATAGACCAGTTCTAGGTGTATGTGCATTCCATTCATGTGGTAACTTTCGCGTCCGCTGCGCTTTCTACTTCTTCTTTTCCATCATTCGCGATCTTTTGTTATATTCCTCCTCAGATGTGCGTGACTTCATGAGAGTATTCCAATTTCGATTAAGTAGAATATTTATAACTTGACAAAATTAAGTATGACAATACGTTGACGCAGCAGTTCGGAGTTCAGACCAATGCTATTGTATATCTAACAACTATATTGATCCGAATTCTAAACTCCGAACTATCACGCTCACTGCATTTGTTTTAATAAATTGCAAATATTTTACTTAATCGAAATTTGGAATACTTTCACGCACATATGTAAGTTTTCGTACGTAAGAATATATATCTATAGGATCAGAAGAAAAAATTTGTTGGTATGCATCCTGACGTTCTTTTGCTTGTTTTAATTGTGCTCGTAAAATTTATTTTAATTTAAGGGGTTATATGTCCCGCTGTCGACGTACCCATCGCATGGTCATCAAGAAGTAAGTTTATTTTGTCATTACAGCCAATTTTATTTAATTTCTTGATATATTTGAAGCAAATTGTTATTGGCATTATTTATATCAAATAATAACAACAATAATAA